CCCTTTACTAGGTTATTTTAACTAGTTTATCGAAAATTCAAGACAAGCTTCTTGACAAATTAGCTCGAACATGTTCGTCATCTACCTGCATAGTTTCTCCTTGACACTGTAAAACCCTATAATTTTCAGGAATAGAAAACGGTTTCTTCGAGCAAATCGTTAGATAGGAGTTATGAATTTCGCACTTAAATAATCTAAACAGGCATTTATATTTTGTGATATTTTCAAAGGCTTTGCAATTGAATTTATTCTTGAGAAAGAATTCTGTTGATATCAATGAGAAGAAAAGTTGAGTGCAAATCGAATTTTCAAATAGAATTCTCTATTGATTCTCTAGTTATGGAAAACATATGGCCACTTTTGTATTCCGCATTCGGGAGCCTCTCAGTGTGATACATAAGTTCGGGTCTCCTAAGGCGCATCAAATTATGAATTTGCAAATTGCTGAAATAGCCTAAATCTTGACGATATGAGGACTTCAATCATATCGCTCATTACCATCAACGATCTCCTATCTAATCGAATTTGCGCATGTAATTTGAAAGTCAATGTTTATAGGATCGAGATAATGTGCAACAATTTTCTTCATTTAAGATTTTCTTTAAACGAGTTTACTTCTTTAAATCTTCGAACATCACATTGTCTAGGTGCTAGAATGTCATGGATTCATCTGCACAAACAACAAAGCAGCAAATGCACTTGTGCGCTGTTGCTTCCATGCATATGCAGATTCAATCTACCTCAAAATGGATGAAAAAGTGCCGGGGTTGAAAGCTATCAAGGTACTTTTTTTGGAAAATTGTTTTTTGTGCACTAAATAATATTCTTTTTGAGGAGGGATCCACTGGTGAACGATCTCCGGTCAGTCCACAAAGTGAGGAGAATAACTCACTGGAAGGAGAGGATCATATGGACAGAACTCCAAAGGTAAGATCAATGTTTTATTGCTTTTTTTTCGACTTGCTTTGAAAACGCTTAATTTTCGAAGAAGTCACGACAATTTTTTAAAGCAAATGCCAAGGTAAGCTATCCTGGAGCTTCCTGGTTAGAGGTTGCTTCTTCTCATACAGAAGTTAATTTTGCACCATTTGACTTCTCTGTCGAACCCTATGCGAGTTTTTATGCTTGAAGATAGAAAAATATCAAATATGTCAATGGTCAAAGGTCTGCATTCTAAATTATCAACTTAAATACCGCTCAGTATATCCATTTTTTTATGAAGAATCCAAAATCACGTGCTGTTTGGCATTTGGGGTTATGCTAATACGGTTGAGTTTGCGTTATTTTCAAATTCAACTATTGCAATATATTCCTAATATTTAACTCTTCAACTCTTCAATCATAACACATACTGTCGCCAGTTTGAACGCGGCAAGGCAAACTATTACTTTTTCTAGTCCTACTATTTGCGCTGAAATCTAGTACAAGGTCTAGATAGCAAAAGGAGTGCCTATAGCACTTTTGAAGTCGCCTGGACGAGTGCCATAGGCTTACTGAAATTTTGTCAGGCGTCTTTTTGATTCAACGGCTTTTCCAATCCACCAGTGTCTGATTAGGAGAAGTGAGATTGAGGGGAAGAGACGGATTTGAAAATAAAACCATTTTAAATGAATAACAGGATCTCTTCAACGCCGCTTCAGATTACAATCTCTAAACTAATGAGCATTGGAAGCGAACTGGTACATCTTCGATAACTTTCTGAACAATCATTACCGCAATTACGGGATTCCCTTATATAATCTACGAAAAAGCGGATTTTTGACAATTTTGGGGGGTCGTGTTCAGTCTTTGCTAATGAAATCAATGCTGGAGCATGACATCTTGCTTCAAAATTATCGAATATGCTGCCGTATATTAAGCGAACGCTACGTATTATTCGATATTCCAATATGACTCCCTAAAAATGCAGAAGCATGCAGATCCTTCTCTACTCAATGTAAAGGGGTTTCATTTTATTAAAACCGAATAGTTTCACCAAAGGTGCCACTGACGTTTCCCAAATCCAAATTGCAAGTTTAAGACGTTTGACTAGGCAACTACCTTAGGTATCGATATTTGATTTTAATGTTGTACAGAAAGCGTACAATCTGCAAAAGGGGAGCTCAGTCCGAAAATTTAATGTTTGTATTCGCCAACGTCTTTCACATTCTCACTAACTGAGATCTAAATTTCTAAATTATTATTTCTTAGCAATGCTGAGTACTGTAGCGGTGAATCC